AGTAATTCTCTCAGTTTGGGAGAAAGGCTACACCAGTGGTTCAACAGCATCTCTGTGATTTGATGTGGTTCTGTTTCATGTTTGTGCATGGTGCTGCTGGGAATACAGCATATCTCCTCGGGGTGTTCAGGAGGGAAAAGGTCTGAGGATCACGATCTAGCCCAATCCTTATTCTACAGATGAGGGGGAAAGCACAGTTGCTATAGCCTGATCCTCTAGGTACTGCCCAACACGGCATACAAGGGAGCTTTGGTTTATTTCCTATTCACACTCTCAGGCTCTTGTTAAACCGAGTTACTTGAGACTGCCCACACTTTACAACAAGTGCCTGCTACTCCTCCTGCTCCCTCCCCCTCCCTCCTTCAATCTGCCTGTCCTTACCCTCCACATGCCCATCCAGGACGCCTATGCCCACACCAATCCCCTTAAACAGGGTATATAATCTCTCCCTCCTTTAAATGCCCACTGCACTTTGTACCACGCCTGTAGCAATCAGAAATTATACTGAAAAGATATTAAGTTGACACTGGTGGGAATAATATTGTCAAAGCAGTGATAAATTCTGTTTGAGGTAAATCTATGGTTCACTCATGGCATCTCTGCCACTGATCTCCACTGTCACAATCCTTAGAGGACATAAATCACTAACTCTCTCAGGATAACACCAGGACTTTTGTTTTATGAAGTCATCAGAGGTTCCAAGTTTTAAAATTCCAGGTAAGTATTCTCAGAAGTCTCACACAAGACTTGAGACTGAAACACAACATTCTGTTTTAAATACAATTTCTTAAAATTAGCAAATGCTTAATTTCAAAGTGCTGTCAGAACTTCACCAAATGCCTACTGAAAACACTTCCTACACAATCCTTCTCATTATATTGGCAATGTCATAAAACCTATAGGCTGAAATAATTCTAAATTTAAAAAGTACAAATAAATTAATCAAAGCATTATTCAGCCATATGCCTTCAGCTTAAGCAACCCTAGGTGATTTCAATTTTACACTAAACAGTTGTCATCCTTACATTTTTTCCATAAAAGGAAAACAATCTTCAATAAATAAACTTTGCATGACTTTAGTAATATCAACTAAAGTCATTGCATTAAGTTATATTAGCCACAAAATACTGAGTTATTTCTTATACTAGGAGTGGGTGATTTCTTATGTTAGGAATGTCAAATGCCAGTAACTAAGCCAATGCTATAAACTATAAAAATTAATCAAATTACTCTAAATTACCAATAAAGTAAATTCCTCTTTCAGCCTTTGCAGTACAACAGGATTCAAATTCATCAGTCATACTTCTTTATGTGTTATTCATATATCTTAAACCATTCTTAGATTTACACATTTACCTGACAGCCCTCCACCCAGGAAGTACAGACTATAAAACCATTGAAACTAGTACTGAGCCTAAACAACTCACTGTCACGCGCTGTTACTCATTCGAGGCAAGTGGGCATGTTCTAAAAGTTTAGAACTCAAAACATCACTCACATCTGGGGGGGTAGGGGGCAAGAGAAGGGAACTTAGAGGGCAGGTCAATAGGTGTATCAGTCCACCATGGCACACGTATACCTATGCAACAAACCTGAACGTTTTGCACATGTACCCCATTTTGTTTTTAGAAGAAATAAGGAAAAAAGTCACATCCATTTTACCATAATCTTAAGAAATAATGTGCTGCAAAAGGTAAAACATCCAAATTAACATCACAGACAATAAAGGAAAATGCCTGGCAAGCAATATGAAATAGCAACTCAAAAACAAAGTAACTCTTGCAATGAAAAACATGCACTGGGCTGGGCGAGGTGGCTCACGCCTGTAATCCTAGTACTTTGGGAGGCCGAGGAGGGTGGATTGCCTGAGTTCAGGAGTTTGAGAACAGCCTGGGCAACACAGTGAAACCCCATCCCTACTAAAACACAAAAAATTAGCTGGGCGTGGCGGTGTGTGCCTGTAGTCCCAGCAACTCGGGAGGCTGAGGCAGGAGAATTGCTTGAACTCGGGAGGCGAAGATTGCAGACAGCCAAGATCGTGCGTGCCATTGTACTCCAACCTGGACAACAGAGCGAGACTCCGTCTCAAATAAATAAATAAATAATAAAAATAAAAACATTCACTGATCAAATTGTCCATTAAAACCCAATTAGAAAAGAATAACAACAACAAAAAACAAAAACCAATTAGAACAATTTTTAGTTCCCTAAATCCAAAATATTTAGGGGTTATGACACCCACTGTAGAATTATCAAAACTTCATCTATTACAAGTTCTCATCTACTAACAATAATTTATCCAACCAACCTTTGATGAGCAGCGGCTATGAGCGAAACACTGTTACAGGAGCTGCAGAGGAATAAGCTCAATACTGTCTCTACAGAGTTAATCATTTCAAATACGGATAGGACAAGTAGACACACAGTAGGCTGCAAGTGTCATTAAAAAAAAAACAAAATAGGGCTGGGCGCAGTGGCTCAAGCCTGTAATCCCAGCACTTTGGGAGGCCGAGACGGGCGGATCATGAGGTCAGGAGATCAAGACCATCCTGGCTAACACGGTGAAACTCCGTCTCTACTACAAAATACAAAAAACTAGCCTGGCGAGGTGGCGGGCGCCTGTAGTCCCAGCTGCTCGGGAAGCTGAGGCAGGAGAATGGCGTGAACCCGGGAGGCGGAGCTTGCAGTGAGCTGAGATCTGGCCACTGCACCCCAGCCTGGGCGACAGGGCGAGACTCCGTCTCAAAAAAAAATAAAAAATAAAAAAAAATGTCAGGCCGGGCATGGTGGCCGACGCCTGCAATCCCAGCACTTTGGGAGGCTGAGGCGGACGGATCACCTGATGCCTGGAGTTCGAGACCAGCCTGACTAACATGGAGAAACCCCGTCTCTACTAAAAATACAAAATTAGGCGTGATGGTGCATGCCTGTAATCCCAGCTACTTGGGAGGCTGAGGCAGGAGAACTGCTTAAATTTGGGAGGCGGAGGCTGCAGTGAGCCGAGATCGTACCATTGCACTCCAGCCCCGGCACTAAGAGCAAAACTCCTTCTCCAAAAAAGAAAAAATGTCACAAATGTATCAAAAGTAAACACATTTTTTTAAAGGACACCTAGCTACAAATTGTAATTTAAGTCAGCATATGCACAACCATCAATCCTAAATATTATTTGCTAGGCCTTCAAATAGGACTTACTGCCCTGCCAAAATGTCTTAGCTCTAACCAGAAAAAACTTGTTCCAGGGGTGTATGCAATCCAGTCTCCATGTTTCAATTACCGGCTCTGGGTACAAAGACCAGCATGTGATTTCTTAAGGTAAAAGTTATTACTATAAAAGATGTACTAGGCCGGGCGCGGTGGCTCACGCCTGTAGTCCTAGCACTTTGGGAGGCCAAGGTGGGCGGATCATGAGGTCAGGAGTTCAAGACCAGCCTGGCCAACATGGTGAAACACCATCTCTACTAAAAATACAAACATTAGCCAGGCGCGCTGGTGGGCACCTATAATCCCAGCTGCTATGGAGGCTGAGGCAGGAGAATCTCTTGAGCCCGGGAGGTGGAGCTTGCAGTGAGCCAAGATTGCACCATTGCACTCCAGCCTAGGCGACAGAGCAAGACTTTGTCTCAAACAAACAAACAAAAAAAAGATGCATTAAAAATTAGGTTGGGAAGAATTTACATGTATTCCTTTCTACATATAAGACATAAATATCGGACACTTGATTCATTCCCTTCATTCTCTAGCCAGCCTCCCAGGGCAAGTCTGGCAATGATTCTGACTATCGGGCAAAAGAAATTACTTTTTCAGTTTATGTTAGGACAATCTACATGGGTTTACATTTGGCTTAATATAATACTACCCTACTTCTCCAATAAGTATTTAAGCATTTATTTAAAAAAACAGAAACTTTGCAATTTAACCACTTCTACTACCCTAGTTTCTCTGAGAAAGACATGACACAACTCACTTCAAGGAAAAAAGGGTACTTTTTCATCACAAGTATTTCCTCATAAACTTTATTTTTTAAATGTTTTTAAAACCAGATTCTAATTAATCTAGATTTGCAAAATTATAAAGGAAAGTCTTGCCGGTTGTTGTTTCGGTTAATTTCACAATTTAGTAAATTGCAACCACGTATTTAATACAAAGTAGACTTTGCGGTGGGGGCAGGGGCGGGGGTGTTTAACAAAATGCACCAGCCTAGAGAAACGTTTCTGTGTGAAAACAGAAGAGGGGTTACCATGGAGAAATTCACTACGGATTTCGGGAGGGCTTTTTCCTCAGAAATAGAGTGAAAAGAAAAAGTCGCTGTGTAAGAAATCTGATTCTGACGCTGTGTGTCAGAAGTCGGTCCAAAAGTTCATCTTCGGCAATTATGTCTAGATGATCAACTACACATCTTCTGCAACAGGTGACACGAAACTGCATTCCCCAAGCAAGGCAAAGCGATCAAATGAGTTAAGACGCGCGTTCCTGCGGTCTTATACTTTTATTTTTGATTTAACCAAAACAATTTTGAATCGGATGAATTACCAAATTTGGTTGGGTCTTGTTTGGCTTTCTGCTTTGCTTTTTAATCAGCCATTTACCAGCAGCTGTTGCACGGGCCCATTAGCACTCGAAGAATAAAAACACACAGTACCAGATAAGGTTCCCCTACTAACCCAAATGATCCGTTTCCTTAACACAATTTAAAAACCACAGCTAGGGGTGTGAAAACAGGCATGTTTTTGTGTGTGTTTGTATGCCACAATCTGTCCAAATCCTTAACTCCCTTTTAAGGAACAGATATATAATAAAAATCCGAAAGGAACCACATTAGAAATGCAAAGAGGTTTGCAAAACAGGAGGCTTCTTTCATTCCGGAAAACCACACCAAAACAAGAGGAGAAAAATGAATGCAAAGGATATGTGTTTGCCAAAGTTTCAATCCTGCCCGGTGGAGACACTGCACACGGCACAAATTTTGAGGAGGAAAAAGAGGGGGTTGGCGGGGGGCGGGGGGGAGGCAGCGAGAGAGTGCGACCTGCAAACTGCAACAATGCAATCTCCACTTTGAACAATGCGCCTCTTTCCCCTCGCATTTCCCCTCTGCTTAGGGGTCGGCGGGGTTGGCGGGAGATCGGAGCAGGATGCACACCACATAAGTGAGCAAGCGGGGAGGGCAGAGGAGGTGAGGAAGGAGTCTGCAGCAACTGAGCTTCGTGGGTACCTGGAGTGCTGCTGTAGGTACTACAGCTCCTGAAGCTGCTTTCCGTGTAGTAACTGGCGTCCTCGTCGTCGTCTTCCAGCTCCTCCCGATAATCGGAGTCATCGTCGTGCACCACTTTGTTGACGACGCTCCGGGCCGCGGTGGTCCGGGCAAGGTGGCTGCCCCCGCCTCCTCGCCGTCGCCCCCGCCCCTCGCCCGCCCGGGTCGCTGGTGCTGGCGCCGGGGCCCGGCGGCGGCGACTTTCTCCGGCTACTGCTGCCCACCCTGGGCGAGCTCAGCCGCGTCTTGGGCACCACCTCAGCCTGGCGGCTGCCCACCTGCCCCGGCTGCTACCGCGTAGCGGCGAGCGGAGCCTCCGGATGGGTCCGGACGTGGGGCGGCGGCGGCGGGGCCGGGGCGCAGCGGGAGCCGCGGGATGCTTGGTCGGCCTGCCCCACCGGCCCCTCTTGTTGGAGCCCGAGGCGGGGAAAGAAGGGAAAGTGGACGGGGAGGGCCTGGCGCAGTGCGGGCGGTGGGGAGCGCCGGGGCCGGGTGGGGAGGCCCTAGGGGCCGGGCGAGAGAGGCCCGGCCGGCGGAAGCGGGTGGAGGGAGGAGGCTCAACCGAATTGCTGGGGCCCCACTCCGGCTCGCCTTCAACCGCCATCTTATTTCTTCCCGCTACTGGAGCGCCGTCACGGGTGCTGCGCCGCCGACGAGCCTGGGAAGGGGCGAGGTGGCGCGGCGGCCGCTAGGGGGAGCGCGGGAACATTGAGTCGGGAGCGGAGAGCCCGGGGCGCTTGGGCTCAGCGCAGCGCGGCGCGGCTGGACTCCGAGCGCGGGTGGCGCGGCTGAGAGAGGCCCGCAGCTCGCTACACGCCCCGCGTCTAAGGCTTTCGGAGACCACAGTCTCCGCGGACCCCTGGCTGGAGCCCAAAGCTGGCCGGACCTCCTTCCCGCGGCTCCGCTTCCGCGGCTCCGACAGGAAGGCAGGAGAGCCCCCAAATATCATTCCCCCCCCGCCCTCTAGGGAAACAGCTAGAGAAAGAAAAAAAAAGTCGTCGCGGATGGGGGCGGCCCGAGCGACCTAAGGGACCAGGCAGCGCCAGCGACCGACGGAAATTAGTCGGGGTCGGGGGACAGGGAGACAAGCCCCCAGAATTTAGGAAACTGCGAGGCTTGGAGCTGGAGTCCTGAAATTGACTCCGATGACAACTGTTCCGGATCTGTGCCAGGAGCCACGCTCCCGGATGCCCCGCCCGGAGGGAGGGGGGCCCTAAAACCTGTTGCGCGGAATCCCCACTCCGAAAGCCTCAGTAAACTCCAGAAGGCAGCTGCTGCATGTTCCAATCTCCCGCCACCTTCCCAGTGTCACAGCTAGGACCCCGACCACCTAAGCAAGAACTTACCTCTCTTTTCCAGTGGAAAAGAGGGAATCCTGCCTAAAACCTACTTCACGGTGTCATAGGTTTGTATTATCGGGAAATAACCTTTATTTATTTACTTGAGAAGTCACTAGGTTTGAGCTTAGCCCAGGGTACATATCATGATGACATTTCAGGCACCCTCAAACCTTATCACAGGGACTCAACTCTGAGTGGTTGAAGTCAGCTCTTCAGATAAGAGAAAGATTTTATAAACTTTATTATTTATTGAGATAAGTGACAACCAAAAAGTAATTAAAAAATAGTTGGCCGGACGCAATAGCTCATGTCTGCAATGCCAGCCCTTTGAGAGGCCAAGGCTGGATGATAGCTTGAGGTCAGGAGTTCGAGACCAGCCTGGGCAAGATAACAGGACCTCGTCTCTAGAAAAAAACTGAAAAATTAGACGGGCATGGTGGTGCGCACCTGCGGTCCCAGCTACGCGAGAGGGTGAGGGGGGAGGATCGCTTGAGCCTGGGAGGTGGATGTTGCACTGAGCCGTGATTGCACCGCTGCACTCCAGCCTGAGTGACAGAGCAAGACCCTCTCTCAAAATTTTAAAACAAGAAAGAAAAATACCTAACAGGATTCTGTATGTCAAATGGCTTATTTCAATCTTATTAGGAAAATGGAACACATACATGAAATGAAAATTAAAATACAAGTACTAATTGCCAAATAAATGCATTCAATACAATTTGGTTGAGCTCTAAGGGTGACAAATGTGTATATGGCTGCGAGGACTAGGTAAGTAATGTAAGTCAATGAAGTAGACAAGGTGAAGACCTAGGCCAATGGAAATGCCATGTTTTGTTTGAAGAGGATGGCCAGGTGCGGTGGCTCAGGCCTGAAATCCCCACACTTTAGGAAGCCAGATGGGCGGATCGCTTGAGCCCAGAATTTCGAGATAAGCCTGGCCAACATAGTGAAACCCCGTCTCTACTAAAAACACAAAAATTAGCCGGGCGCTAATTTTTATTAGCATGCGCCCATAGTCCTAGCTACTCAGGAGGCTGAGGCAGGAGAATCGCTTGAACCTGGGAGGCAGAGGTTGTGGTGAACCGAGCGAGACTCCGTCACCCACCCCCCAAAAAAGAGAAAAGTTAAACAAAACAAAACAGACCAAAAAAAACCCAACTTTTCTTTGAATGGATTAGCAGGTATTTGATGTTTTGCTACTTTATGCTTTAATGAATTTATCTTTCTGTGGCTTCAAGAAGAAAAATGTTAAGTCAGTGAATACTGTATAGGTTGAGCATCCCTTATCTAAAATGCTTTGGATCAGAAGTGTTTTGGGCTTTGGAATATTTGCATTATACTTACCAGTTGATCATTCCTAATCTGAAAATCTGAAATGCTGTAATGAGCATTTCCTTTGAACAGCATGTTGGCACTCAAAAACTTTTGAATCTTGGAGCATTTTGGATTTCAGGTTTTCAGAATAAGGGTACTCCACCAGTATCCTTTTATTTATCTATGATTTAATATAGCCCTTCTTTCTCAGAATTACTGAGTGACTCATTCCTGTAATGCTACTAAATTTTTATTCATTTTTTATCTTAATAATAATATTTAGGCCGGGCGCGGTGGCTCAAGCCTGTAATCCCAGCACTTTGGGAGGCCGAGACAGGTGGATCACGAGGTCAGGAGATCGAGACCATCCTGGCGAACATGGTGAAACCCCGTCTCTACTAAAAAAATACAAAAAACTAACCGGGGCGAGGTGGCGGGCGCCTGTAGTCCCAGCTACTCGGGAGGCTGAGGCAGGAGAATGGCGTGAACCTGGGAGGCGGAGCTTGCAGTGAGCTGGGATCGCGCCACTGCACTCCAGCCTGGGCGACAGAGCGAGACTCCGTCTCAAAAAAAAAAATGATAATAATAATAATATTTAACATTTATTGATCACTAATGTGCCCAGGCACTATGGTAGATGCCTTATCATTATACCTGTAAGTCCTATAGTGGCCTGCAGGCAGGTTTTTATTATATCCTCATTTTACAAGTGAGGTAAATAAAATGTCTTAGAGGCTCAGAGAGCTTGTGTTTTCTCCATGTCCACATATCTTATAAGCAAATGAGCCTATTTAAAGCCAGATCTCCCCTAAAGCCCAGTTCTTTCAGTTCCCTCAGTTTGCCATTGAGGAAACAAGAAAATCAGACTCACTCTCATCAATTGCCTCACACATACTCTTGAATTCCTTTTGAGTGGGAACAGAAATACCATTATATGTGTTCCTCTACGTCTAGTCCTAGACATTAATTTACCTGTTTCTTTTAAGTTAGTGACCATCTCTGTTGAAGTCTTTAACTCCATTAAAAGTGAATGGAACCTTAGGAGGGTTTTAGGCAGGAGAGAAAGCTCCTCTCCAGTTTGAGCTTCAGTTGTCCAGAAGTAAAGAAGAGGGATGAGATATTATTTGAGATAACTCCTTCAAGAACCAGAATTTAGCAAAGCATTTACACCATTTTGATGAAAATATTTCTAAACTATATTATAAAACTAGCCAGGTATGGCGGCACATGTCTGTAGTCCTAGTTACTTGGGAGGCTGAGGCGGGAGAATTGCTTGAGCCTAGGAGTCTGAGTATGCTGTGAGCCATGATGGTGCCACTGCACTCTAACCTGGGTGACAAAGTGAGACCCTGTCTCTAAAATAAATTTATTTTATTCTACAATAATTCTAGGCCGAGTGCGGTGGCTCATGCCTGTAATCCCAGCACTTTAGGAGGCCGAGGTGGGTGGATCACAAGGTCAGGAGATCAAGAACATGTTGGCCAACATAGTGAAAGTCCATCTCTACTAAAAATACAAAAATTAGCTAGGCATGGTGGCACATGCCTGTAGTCTCAGCTACTCTGGAGGCTGAGGCAGGAGAATCACTTGAACCTGGGAGGCGGAGGTTGCAGTGAGCCGGGATTGCGCCTCTGCACTCCAGCCTGGGCGACAAGAGTGAAACTCTGTCTCAATAAATAAATAAAATAAAATAATTCTAAATACATTCTGCTCACCATATTGTTACACTGATGATCTTAAAGTTGATTGAGAAGCAGCTGAAACTGGCTTCCACAGAGTACTCTCATGTGGTTCTGAATTTTGAGGTCATCTTTCTTTGTGTCATGTTTTTTAGATGTCCTTTCTCAGAGTCAATCAAGTTTGAGTAAGACCTGCAGGGATCTCTTGTGAGCACATATATTGAGTTTTAGTACATAAGCTTTGTTTTAACTTTTCACTGGGTAGGTGAAACTCAGGTAAGTGGCATTATGTCTAATATATAAAATATTTTCCCCCATTTTTAAACAGAGAAGAAGATACAGAAAATGAAAATAAAATTTGGTACTACAGCACAAAGGTCCAGCTTGCAGAATTAATTGACTGTCTAGAGAAAGATTATTGGGAAGTAGAACTCTGCAAAATTCTGGAAGAAATGCGTGAAGAAATCCACCGACACATGGACATAACCGAAGACCTGACTGATAAGGTTTGGGGCAGTAACAAATCCTTTCTGGCGGCAGCTAATGGTGAGAGGGGCATTTTCTCATTTTATTTTTGTTAAGTCTGAGCTAAACTGTTGGTATGAAATCAGTTGGTTTGAAATCAGTTGGTATGAAATGCAAACTTTGAAAATAGATTAAAATATAGATTAAAATTTTCTTTCTTTCTTTCTTTCTTTTTTTTTTTTTTTTGAGACAGAGTCCTGCTCTGTCGCCCAGGCTGGAGTGCAGTGGCGCAATCTCGGCTCACTGCAACCTCCGCCTCCCGGGTTCATGCCATTCTCCTGCCTCAGCTTCCCAAGTAGCTGGGACTACAGGCGCCCGCCACCATGTCCGGCTAAATTTTTGCATTTTTAGTAGAGACGGGGTTTCACTGTGTTAGCCAGGATGGTCTCGACCTCCTGACCTCGTGATCCGCCCGCCTCGGCCTCCCTTTTTTGGTTAAGGTACAACGTCAACCTGGTACTAGAGGAGGAAGTATTCACAAGAGTTGAAAACTGATGGGGAAGAGAAGGGAAAACTAACATTTTTGAGTGCCTACTGTGGCCAGGTGTTCAACTAGGTGTTTTACAATTCTTTAATCCTCTCAACAACTTTTTAAGGAGTATATTGGCAATGAATTCAACACTCAGAAGAATTCCCCATTAAAACACCAGTCCACCACCGTTACCTTTATTTGCTCTCTCTGGTAACCAAAATCTTGGCTTTGATAGTCAGTTTGGGACCACCCAGTCCAGGTAAATACCCAAAATAATGTCTAATGGTGTTCTTTAACTTGGAGTTATATGAGATGAAAACAATGGAAACTACTGAGGTTCTGATAATAGCCAAGAATAATTTGTAGCATAACAGGAATTTCAGAATCGTAGTCTGTCCTGATGACTTTGACTTGATGTTAACCTCTCAAACAAAATACTTCATTTCTAATGTATAGCTCTCTGGTTTTTATACACATGCATGTCTACTTTAGGTGAGTTTAATTCTATTTCTGAGAGTTAAATTTTTCTTCTGCATTTTTCCTCAATATTTTATGAAAAAATTAAATGTACAGAAAGGTTTAAAGAATTATACAGTTACCAGCCTGACCAACATGGCAAAACCCCGTCTGTACTAAAAATACAAAAATTAGCCAGGCCCGGTGGCACACACCTGTAATCCCAGCTACTCAGGAAGCTGAGGCAGGAGAATTGCTTTAACCTGGGAGGTGGAGGTTGCAGTGAGCTGAGATTGCGCCACTGCGCTCCAGCCTGGGCGACAGGGACAGAGTTTGTCTCAAAATAATAATAATAATTATAATTATACAGTAAATACTCATATATTCATTATCTAGATCTGTACTTTACTATATATTTATAGCTAAATATACAGCTTACTATATTTGCTTTATCCTATGCCTGTATGGTAATTAAGTTTTATAATGCTTTATTTTGCTTATTTGAAGGAAGTTTATTTTTAGAAGAAATTTTTCTAAGTAGAGATGGTTTCTAAAACCTGGTAGGTTCATTCTTTGTTTAGTTTTGAAATATTCATGCAAAGTGTAGAATATACATGTTTATAGAATATGCATATTTAGTATAGATCAGATACAACATAATTTTTTCTCATCCTTTAATGTTTTTCCCTCTGCTGAACACTGGGTCTGTTTTTCTTGTTTTGTTGTTGTTGCTGTTGGTTGTTTTGTTTTGTTTTTGGTTTTTGAGACAGAGTCTCACTGTATCACCCAGGCTGGAGTGCAAGTGGCATGATCTCAGCTCCCTGCAACCTCAGTCTCCTGGGTTCAAGCAATTCTCATGTCTCAGCCTCCCAAGTAGCTGGGATTACAGGTGTGCACTACCACGCCCGGCTAATTTTTGTATTTTTGGTAGAGATGGGGTTTCACCATGTTGGCCAGGCTGGTCTCAAACTTCTAGCCTCAAGTGATTCACCTGCCTCGGCCTTGTGAAGTGCTGGGATTCCAGGCCTGAGCCATTGTGCCTGGCCCTATTTTTGGTCTGTTTTTCTTATGGCTATGACTGTCATAGGTTTTTGGACCTAAAACCAGTATGAATGTGTGTATGTATACATACATATACATACACACATATATACAAGAGTGTTTAGCAAGATAGACTATTTGAAATTAGAATCTTTGTAGAAAATCAGAGAACTATGGTCATCCAACCTGTGCTTTTCAACCAATTTAAATGGTCTAAACTTAGGAGGCAATTAAGCATTTTTTTTTTTGTTTGGTTTTCATTAAATGGCCTGGGAAAGTTGGGAGGATGTACAATGATTTGGTTAAGAAAAGCTATAGGATGTAGCTATGTTTGAAAGACAGCGGGCATGGTGGCTCACACCTGTAATGCTAGCACTTTGGGATGGGTGGATCACTTGAGGTCAGGAGTTTGAGACCAGCCTGGCCAACATAGTGAAACCCCGTCTCTACAGAAAATATAAAAATTAGCCAGGTGTCATCAATGGTGTGCACCTATAGCCCCAGCTACTTGGGAGGCTGAGGTGGGAGAATCTCTTGAACCCGGGAGGTGGAGGTTGCAGTGAATTGAGATTGTGCCATTGCATTCCAGCCTGGGCAACAGAGCAAGACTCAAAAAAAAAAAGAAAGAAAAGAAAAGAAAGAAAGAAAAGAGGAAAGCTGTGCCTCTAAGAAAAGCAGATAATCGGTAACTACATTTCTTTTTCCAAATAAAATGTTCTTTAAAATATAGTAAGTAAGGGCTGGGCAGCGCTTCACGACTGTAATCCCAGTGCTTTGATAGGCCAAGGCAGGGGGGTCACTGGAAGTTCAAGACCAGCCTGGGCAACATAGTGAGACTCCATCTCTATTTTTAAAAAGATTAAAAAATTAGCCAGGCAGCTGGGCACAGTAGCTCATGCCTATAATCCCAGCATTTTGGGAGGCCAACGCGGGCAGATCATGAGGTTGGGGGATCGAGACCATCCTGGCTAACACGGTTAAACCCTATCTCTACTAAAAATACAAAAATTTAGCTGGACGTGGTGGCACGCACCTGTAGTCCCAGCTACTGGGGAAGCTGAGGCAGGAGAATCGCTTGAACCCGGGAAGCGAGGTTTTGCAGTGAACCAAGATCACACCACTGCACTCCATCCTGGAGCAAGACTCCATTCAAAAAAAAAAAAAATTAGCCATGCATGGTGACACACACCTATAGTTCCATCTGCTTGGGAGGCTGAGGTGGGAGGATAACTTGAGTCTAGGAATTCAAGGTTACAGTGAGCTATGATCACTTCAGTGTACTCCTGGGCAAGAATGAGACCCTGTCTCTAAAAAAGTAAAAAATAAAATTTTAAAAAAGGAAACACAGGCTGGGAGCAGTGGCTCATGCCTGTAATCCTAGCACTTTGAGAGGCCGAGGCGGGCAGATCACGAGGTCAGGAGATCGAGACTATCATCGCTAACATGGTGAAACCCCGCCTCTAGTAAAATACAAAAAATTACCCGGGTGTCGTGGCTGGTGCCTGTAGTCCCAGCTACTTGGGAAGCTGAGGCAGGAGAATGGCGTGAACCCAGGAGGCGGAGCTTGTAGTGAGCCAAGATTGCACCACTGCACTCCAGCCTGGGCAACAGAGCGAGACTCTATCTCAGAAAAAAAAAAAAAAAAAAAGGAAACACAAACCCAAAAATCCAAAGAGGAGTACTGTGGATATACATGGTATTAAAAGTGTTTGTTTCTTCTGGCTTGGTGTGGTGGCTTATGCCTGTAATCCCAACACTTTGGGAGACTGAGGCGGGTGGATCACCTGAGGTCAGGAGTTCGAGACCAGCCTGGCCAACGTGGTGAAACCCCGTCTCTACTAAAAATACAAAAATTAGCCTCGTGTGGTGGTGGGCGCCTGTAATGCCAGCTACTTGGGAGGTCGAAACAGGAGAATTGCTTGAACCTGGGAAGTGGAGGTTGCAGTGAGCCAGGATCGCACCATTGCTCTCCAGCCTGGATGACAAGAGCAAAACTCCATCTCAAAAAAAAAGGTGTTTCTTCTTATTCACAAATATTGTACTCAAGTTGGTAAATTTATTTTTATGAGGAAACAGTTTAGCAATTCCGAAACTATTTTACTATGTGCTAGGAATGGAATGAACAAATAACTAGATATATTACAGATAATGTGAGCCAGATTTCTCACTGTCAGAGAAGTTACAAATAAGCAAGTGGGCAATGGTAAATGAACCTACACAGACACATAGGCTTTCACTCATACACATATGTGCCCGCAGAGATAAATACTGAAATAATAATAGATGTGTATATTTATCACTACATTTCTTAGCTCTGTTGGCCAAGAGACCCTAGAAAGCAACACTCCAGTTGTAACAAGCACACCAAGCACCTAGATTGTGACTTCTAACATCATTTTCCAATTTGTTCTTCAAAAAAGAACAAAGGCACCTTGGAGAGATGGTGGATTCTAGGACTGAGGCAGGGAAAATACAAGGTGAACCTGGAGCATCTTGTAATACTGGAAAGTTAAGAAAACGCTGAGTGAATGAATGAATGGATGGATGAATGAATGAGTGAATATGTATCAAAAGGACACTAGACTTGGAAAGAGTCCCAAGTGACCAAAGCTGAAACAATTTGTGCAACAAAATTAAAAGTGACAGTATTGCATGATAACCCAAAGAATATAACTGATATCCATGAGTCCATACTGATACACCCTGGTTTCTGTGCACTGTGGTCCTTCTATATCCCGTGGTCTATAACATGCCATAGCATCACTCTGTCTAAGTTGAAAGAAGGTGAGTGTGCTTAGAGACTTAATGACTTTCAGAACAGTTCAGGGATTTCAGAGAGAAAGTTCTTACAAAAGGGCCTCTGTTTTCTCATTTTACAATTGAGGAAATGATGGCCTGGAGAGGTTAGGTAGCTTGCCCAGAGTCACACAGCTAATCCAAGTCAGATTTGCAGTGGGTTTTGGGTTTCTAGGTTTTGATCACTACAGTGTGCTGCCCAGACTGTGGGTCTATGTCAGCTTGCAGTTTTTGTCATCTGTTACAGATATCTGTATCTAGCCTATATTTTAAAAAGATAGACTAACTTTACTTAAAAAAAAAAAAAGTAGAATGCATAATTAGCATGTATTTTCTAGACGTGAAGATACACCACATTGGTTGAACTCTCTAAACAAAATTTTGTTTGTAATATTGATTGTTATTTCATAGGTCTAATGCTTTAAAAATACTTAATTTTCCTCTTTAATAACTTGTACTGAAACTCTTAAGTGGCATTTGTTGTACTTACTGTTCTATTTGGTTATATATAGAAATAATTTTTTATTTGTTTTCATTATAGAAGAAATTTTGGAATCTATAAGAGCCAAAAAGGCAGACACTGATAATGTTAAAAGCCCAGAAGAAATAGAAAAAGACAAGAACGAGACTGAGGATGACTCTAAAGATGCTCAGAAAAGCAGAGAATTCGAAGACCAGTCCCTTGAAAAAGACAGTGAATACAAAACACCAGACAATGACCCTGAGCAAGGAAAATCTGAGGGTAAAAAATTACTTGATTAAAAAGAAATATTTCATCAGTGTTATTTATGAAACCTCCAGTTTTACTTGCAAAATGAAAGTGAAACATTGCAAGCAACTACTTAATTTAATATTTCTAAAGATATCAGGATACCGTCCCCTCTTGTAACATGTGTGACAATTGTAATGAGTTTTACGTAATAGTGGATTTGCTATAATATTATACTCATGTCTCTATACTTGCCATTAAGTTGCCATTTTCCTATGAAAAAGTACTATTTTTATATTATACCAGAATATATACTTTTGTATGTATACTTATATATGTATACTTTTGTATGTATAATTTTGTATGTATGAACATATATATAAATATGTTCATTTTTGTGTTAATTACTTAAACATTCTTAATATACTATTAAATATTCTTAAATACTCTTTGGATTACCTATTGCAGCAATATCCCAGAATCTAATTGCTTTAAAATGGCCATCCAACGGAAGCAGGTTTCTTTGGTGACAGATCATTTTTAGTAGTTGACTGAATGTGGTCATTTGTCCTGAAGCAATTTTAAAGAATATCTTTAAAGTTTTGTTGTGCATTTTGCTGTAGAGCCAACAGAAGTTGGGGATAAAGGTAACTCTGTGTCAGCAAATCTTGGCGACAACACAACAAATGCATCTTCAGAAGAGACTAGTGCCCCTGAAGGGAGGAGCCCCGTGGGGTGTCTCTCAGAAACCCCTGATAGCAGCAACATGGCAGAGAAGAAGGTGGCATCTGAGCTCCCCCAGGATGTGCCAGGTACAGAGGGCAGCATATCAATGCCTCTGTAATGGGGGAAATCCTTCCCTTTTGTAGTAAAAGCCGAATGTCACCTAAAACTTTATGTGTTCATTCATGCTGCTTGCTTACAGTGCCATCCCTTTTTGCTGAATTACCACCTAACATTTGGAGTTTGATTAATGTCCTCACAGTTAGTGCTTGAAACTCATTGTGATTTTCATGCTTCTTAAACTTCATTTAGCTGTTTTTGTTTGATGGATTTTTATATTTTATCACCAGACCACACTGGCAGATATTTTAGTTTTAATTACTTACGTGCTAATCGCTCAATGTTGAATGATCTGACCTTTCTAGTTCTGTAGATACTAACAAATTAATTTTATGTTTGCATGTGCTCATGTAATATTTATAGCATTTTAAACCATAGTGTTATGGTAGAAAATCATGATCACAAAACATTGTTGTCAGATGTATTTTGACATAAAAATGTAGGTTGACCAGTAATTCATATTTTCAGTTTTTAAAGTTAAAGTTATACTCCAAGTAAGTTATATCACACCAAGAATGCCCTATTGCATACCATGAAGGATTTTGACAACCTAGCACTCTTATGAGGATGACTTCCATTTGAGTACTGGTCAACAGTGAACTGTGTTGCTGAAAACACCAGTTTAATAGGGCGCTACAGATAGGGATGTAAGTGTAAGGTCCAGAAGAACTGCAGCAAACAGCAGTAAGTCTGCCATATTTTATATTGTTGAGAGATTAGTCATTAAGATCAAGAAATGGGCCAGGTGCGGTGGCTCATGCCTGTAATCCCAGCACTTAGGGAGGCCAAGGCGGGCAGATCACCTGAGGTCAGGAGCTCAAGACCAGCCTGGCCAACATGGTGAAGCCTCATTTCTACTAAAAATACAAAAATTAACTGGGCATGGTGGCAGTCGCCTGTAATCCCAGCTACTCGGGAGGCTGAGGCAGGAGAATCGCTTGAACCCCGGAGGCGGAGGTTGCAGTGAGCCAAGATTGTGTCACTGCACTCCAGCCTGGGTGACAAGAGTGAGACTCCATGTCAAAAAAAAAAAAAAAAATCAAGAAAACTCTGGAAACCATGCCACCTGGTGAAATGAATAAAGAAACAAATGTTGTTTGGACTCAGTGGCTCATACCTCTAATCTCAGCACTTTGGAGGCCGAGATGGGCAGATCACTTGAGGCCAGGAGTTCAAGACCAGTCTGGGCAACACAGTGAAACCCTGTTTTTTCTAAAATTAGTCAGACCTGGTGGTTCATGCCTGTAATCCCAGCTACTCGGGAAGCTGAGGCACAAGAATCCCTTGAACCCAGGAGGGTTGCGGTGAGAGGAGATCGCACCACTGCACTCCAGCCTGGCCAACAGAGTGAGTCTCCGTCTCCAAAAAAAAAAAAAGTTTTTATTCTAGAAAAGAATAGGGGCTTGACATCGAGGGGTGAGCTGAAAATAACGTAATTGTCCTCAGATATTTGAAGGGCTGATGTGTGGGCATATGAGACTACTTCTTTGAAATGTAAGGTGCTAAGTCATAAATAGAAATATAATGAAGAATATTTTGATTAAATATTAACAACTTAAAATTAGAGCTTTTTAGAAAATAGAAATAATAAATTCCCTTTCACTAGAGGCATTTGATAAGTACCTATAAGAGATTATTTCAGTGAGAGTCCTTTATTGAATAGATTGGAGAAACTTAGAGATCTATAATTTAATTTTACAATGTTATGGTTAAAGTTCTGGGTCCTATCTAGTTCTTAAAAATTATGTTATCCTGACTCACATATTCAGGGTTAAAAGTTTGAAAGTTGATTATTGCCCCCAAAATAATGTGGAAAATATTTAATTCTTATTGGAATCATGATTACAATCTTAGTAGATACTTTTTAAAGTATTCTTTGTACTTTTACATTGATCAGTACATTACATTACATTGAGGTTTACAACTAGTGGGTTTATGTATGATCTAGTTCTGTTTCTAAACCAAACTCAGCTGAGTAACAGCTATACTTAGATTTTAGCAGACATTTGCTTTGTAAGGTATTATATTACCAGTATATTTCTCTGAGATATATGTTCTTTTGTTATTAGAATGATTTAAGGGAGAAACTATTATCCTAGTATCTTACATGTTTTTAAAGAATGTTAAATGAATAATATATATATAAAGCACTTAGGATTGTGCCCGACGCATATTAACTGCTCAGTAAACGTTGAGTATTACTGTTACTGATATTTATAGTTAACTCCTTTGAAGAGTGAGAAAGCCTAGCAAAAAAAGAATAACGAAGTGAGTGAATTGAATTACACTTTTCTTGATTCAGTAGTTGTTAACATAAAAAATGCTGATTTGATGATTTGTTGAACATAACGAATGTTGATCTCTTGTAAATGAGAGCCTTTGTAGTTACACTTCACAGTTCAAATATAATAGTATTTTCATGTATTTAAAAATATATTTATGGCCAGGTGCAGTGGCTCACACCTGTAATCCCAGCACTTTGGGAGGCCGAGGCGGGTGGATCACCTGAGGTCGGGAGTTTGAGACCAGCCTGATGAACATGGAGAAACCCGATCTCTACTAAAAATACAAAAATTAGCCGGGCATGGTGGCACACGCCTGTCGTCCCAGCTACTTGGGAGGCTGAAGCAGGAGAATCACTTGAATCTGGGAGGCGGAGGTTGCAGTGACCTGAGATCATGCCACTGTACTCCAGCCTGGGTGACAGAGCAAGGCTGCATCTCAAAAAAAGAAAAAGGAAATATATTTATATGAAAACATAAGCAAGCAGTTTCAAGAAAACTAGAATGGGAGCAAATATAGCAATTGTCAGTAGCTGGCATCGGAGGGGATTTTGGGTCATTAGCAGGGTGAGAGTGCTGGACAGCTGAAAATGCTGTCCCTACAATAAATTCAAAACCTTCCCATTTAATAACTCCTAGTTCTCTTCATGACTAGAGTAAAAAACAAAACAGAATTATACTTGTTTCCAAAACATGAAAAACATTTTAAAAGACTTTATTAAGTTTGGTACTTTTATAAAGTAGAGAAGCATTTTAATAGGTCCCTGACTTCAGAATATACTAATGGGGATATATCAGTGACCAAAATAGATAAGATCTGGGACCTTGGTGACTTACATTCCAATGGGCAGTAGACAGACTTAAAAGAGTTGTGACCTTCAGAGAGAATTACCTGCTTCCCTCTGTTTCTGTGGCTCTCTATGCAGTTATTTATTCAGCAGATATTTATTGAGTGCCTACAATGTGCCTGGCAATGTGCTAAACACTTTATGATATCCCTGGACCAAACTCTTACCGCTGTTCACTACCTATGGTCAGTGGATGAGATGCCTTGTTAGAAGAATTGGGGTGGGCCGGGCACGGTGGCCCACGCCTGTAATCCCAGCACCTTGGGAGGCTGAGGCAGGTGGATCACCTGAGGTCAGGAGTTTGAGACCAGCCTGGCCAACATGGCAAAACCCCGTCTCTACTAAAAATACAAAAATTAGCTGGGTGTGATGGCAAGCGCCTGTAATCCCAGGTACTTGGGAGGCTGAGGCAGGAAAATCGCTTGAACCTGGAAGGTGGTGGTTGCAGTGAGCCGAGATCGTGCCGCTGCACTCCAGCCTGGGTGACAGAATGAGACTCTGCCTCAAAAAAAAAAAAAAAAAAAATTGGGGTGGAAGAATTATTCAAGGCAGATTAACAACAATAGCCATGACAGACGATATCTTACTTGGTTTTTCTAAACTTTCAGAATGTATTTAGACATCCAACTTAATGATTAAAACTTATCAATAAAAGAGACTGTTAGATTGGATAGCATTTCAGATGGAAAGATATTTTTGGTAAAGTTTTTTTTTTTTTGAGAGAGAATCTCACTCTTTCATCCAGGCTGGAGTGCCGTGGCGCGATCATGGCTCACTGCAGCCTTGACCTCCCAGGCTGAAGCTATCCTCCCGCCTCAGCCTCCCAAGTAGCTGACACTACAGGTGTGCACTACCATGCCCAGCTTACTTATTTATTTATTAGAGACAAGGTCTCACTTCAGATAAGGTTTCTGATTGTATTGTTCTAATCTGTATTCTTGGTATGTTTTTGGGTGTGTTTTTTTTTCCTGTCAGATATTTTAAAATTATTTCTGTTTATTGTAGATATGCCTTTTTCTCTTTTTGTTTTTTTTTTTTCAGTTTTTGCATTATACAGTTTGAAACCGTGTTATTAGGAGGACCTAATATTTATATTTTGTTGGTTTTTTTATCATTGTGAAATGTCCATTATTTTTAATAATGTTTTCAACCTACACCAGCTTTCTTTTGGTTAATGTTTGTATTGTATATATTTTCTGCAATAGAAGGACTTTTTTAAAAATCTGAGAATTTAGAATTTTTGTAGAAATACAAACATTTACTTTAGTATTTCCTTATATATACAGAATTGCTTCTGTATATATTTTATTTCAGGGCTTTACTTTGAAATAAGATCTTGTCAGAGAACACTGTTGTTTTCATATAATTTGGTGAAGTTATTATGTGAAGGAAAAATGATAAAATTGTAGTATAAAAATGATAGGAGTGAGAGCATAAGAAAATTGGTCAGGTTTCATGATACCTATTATATCGAGTATGATCAATGATCAGAAACATTTTGTGTGGCTCAGATTAAAGATTAAACTGAAAAAGTTGGACAATATTTGGGGAAAGATTGGTACATATCACTTATAAAGTTAAAAAGTTAATCTCCTAGTACCTATTCAGTTTCATCTGTCTTTGGGAAGAATACTTTATAAACAGTGTGCTGGTTAATTGATACTGTGTCACACCAAGAGGCTCATGGTATATGGTTTTTCTACCTTTAGAGATTCCTAGATTGATCAGAGTTTAGGTGGTGAGATTGCAAGAGTCTCTGTTAACCTCTCACTCATTTTAATGATCTTTCCAGAATCAGTTATTTATTTGGAGACTGTAATATGGAGTTTTGGGGATTTTCCTTTTTTTTTTTCTTCTTTTTTTGAGACATGGTCTTGCTGTGTCACCCAGGCTGGAGTGCAGGGGCACAATCTCGGCTCACTGCAACCTCCGCATCCTGAATAGCTGGGATTACAGGCATCCACCACCATACCCAACTAATTTTTGTATTTTTAGTAGAGATGGAATTTCACCATGTTGTCCAGGCTGGCCTCGAACTCCTGACCTCAGGTGATCCGCCCACGTCAGCCTCCCAAAGTGCTAGGATTACAGGCGTGAGCCACCATGCTGGCTGGACTTCTTGCTCTTCAGCAGAATAAAATGTTTGAGGCTTATGTGACACAGTACCTATCCCGACTTGGAATTGGTTTTTTTCCTCAAGAAGTCCAAGTTCCTTTTAATGGGAAATGATATTTAGAGACCACAATCTAGACTCAGGGATACTTTTTGCTACTGGGCTCTCACAGCCCCTAGGCTTTTTGGGTGGGTAGTGTTATGAAAGACATGTTTTTGAAAAGAAAAAGATCATCAGTTTATTTTGATGCTTCAGATTCAGGTTGCGGATAGCGTACTTAGTTTCTTTGTTTTTACATTTGTATCTCTGTTCCCTATACTGAAAGCCTTAGTTCCTAGCAACAGTGATTCAGCTATATATTTGCTTTATCCCAATACAGGATATTCCTATCCTAATGTGCATTAATAATAAGAGGAAGTGATTTTTCAATATGGCGGTATTCTCATAATACCAGTATTACTGCTGACACTAAGACTGCTGAATGGCATTTATGACTTTTTGCTGCTCTTTATTTCTCATTATACTATATTTCTAGTAAGGATGTACAGACAAAATATCATATTCTAAAGTCACTTAAAATAATCCTCTGGACCGGGCGTGGCGGTTCTCGCCTGTAATCCCAGCACTTTGGGAGGCCGAGGTGGGCAGGTTGCTTGAACTCAGGAGTTCAAGACCAGCCTGCCCAACATGGCAAAATCCCTTTTCTGTAAAAGTTAGCCGAGCGTGGTGGTGCTTCCCTGTAGTCCCAGCTACTCAGGAGGCTGAGGTGGGAGGATGGCTTGAGCTCAGGAGGTGGAAGTTGCAGTGAAACGAGATTGCACCACTGCACTCCAGCTTGGGTGATAGAACCACACCTTGTCTAAAACAAAACAAAAAAAGATAATAATAATCCTTTGTGTGGTTATGCACAACTTGATACGCAGTTCGTTTCTGTTTTAATTTTTAGGGATGCATTTCTATAATAACTTTATTTTTTTGAAAATGTAGAAGAACATTTACATTATTATAAATTCAAAACTATGTAACTGGAGATATTCAGAGAATTTTCACTTTCATTCCTTCTCTCTCTAGGTAACCATGTCTTTTCCCTTATAAGTAGCCATTTTTATTGTTTTTTGGTTATTCTTCAATGTTTCTTGTTTTTGTTTTGTTTTGTTTTTTGAGATGGAGTCTCACACTGCTGCCCAGGCTGGAGTGCAGTGGTGCGGTCTTGGCTCACTGCAATCTCCGCCCACTGTGTTCAAGCAATTCTCCTGCCTCAGCCTCCCGAGTAGCTGGGATTACAGGCGCCTGCCACCACGCACAGCTAATTTTTGTATTTTTAGTAAAGATGGGATTTCACCGTCTTGGCCAGGCTGGTCTTGAACCCCTAATCTCATGATCCACCTGCCTCGGCCTCCCAAAGTGCTGGGATTACAGGCGTGAGCCACTGTGCCTGGCTGATTTTGTTTTTTATAAGTAAAAGCAACAACTGTTTATAAATTTGTATTTCCTCCCCTTCTCACACAAAAGTGAGCGTATTATAAGTATTGTTCTACACCTTGCTTTTAACATTTAATCTTGGAGATCATTTTATATGTGAACATAGTGATTATCGTCAGTTCTTGCTATGATGCATGGTATTTAATTGTATATACCATCTTTTGTTCAACTAGTGCCCTATTGATGGGCATTTTCTTTTCTTTCTTTTCTTTTCTTTTTTTTTTTTTTTTGAAACACAGTCTCATTCTGTCACACAGGCTGGAGTGCAGTGACGTGATCTTGGCTCACTGCCAAGATTCACCATGTTGGCCATGCTGGTCTCAAACGCCTGACTTCAGGTGATCCATCCACCTTAGCTTCCCAAAGTGCTGGGATTACAGGCATGAGCCACTGCACCCGGCACCCCCCCCCCCATTTTTTTTAGACAAGATCTCAGCTTTGTCACCAGGCTGGAGTACAGTGGCCCAATCACGGCTCTCTGCAACCTCTGCCTCTCGGGTTCAAGTGATCCTCCTGCCTTAGCCCGCCAAGTACCTAAGACTAGAGACATGCACTACTATGCCTGGCTAATTTTTGTATTTTTCGTAGAGCCAAAGTTTCGCCATGTTGCCCAGGCTGGTCTTGAACTCCTAACCTCAAGTATTCCGCCTGCCTCAGCCTCCCAAAGTGCTAGGATTACAGGCATAAGCCACTGCTCTCAGCCTCATGGGCATTTTCTTCATTTCTGGGTCTTTTGCCATTTTAAATACTCCAATGAATAGCTCTATAGATAAATAATTTAGTATTTTTTTAGTGTATCTTGGGCTACACAGGATTGCTACGTTAAGTAAATGCTATGTAATTTTCCCTTTGTGTATTGTGAGACTGGGATTTTTGCCACTTGATAACTGAGAGTAGTTTCTTCATACAGTTTTATTTTACATTTCTCTTAGTTTGAATTGGGCATATTTCCATATGCCTAAAGGCCATTTTCTTTTCTTTTGTGACGGCTCACATATTTCCATCGGGTTGTCAGGTTCTTTTCCTGAAACCCGACATTATACATTAGAGATAGTTACTGCAATAGATTGTCAACCAATTTTTATTTTGGGTGATTTGAAGAGTACCTTGTTAATGGCAAAAACAAACACAGAGGGAGACTCTGAATTTTAGAACTACCATGGAAAGACAGGTTTTCTGTTCATGGTAGTGGTAATTTTTTTTTTTTTTTTGAGACAGAGTCTTGCTCTGTCGCCCAGGCTGGAGTGCAGTGGCCGGATTTCGGCTCCCTGCAAGCTCCGCCTCCCGGGTTCACGCCATTCTCCTGCCTCAGCCTCCCGAGTAGCTGGGACTACAGGCGCCCACCACCTCGCCCGGCTAGGTTTTTTTTTTTGTATTTTTTAGTAGAGACGAGGTTTCACCGTGTTAGCCAGAGTGGTCTCGATCTCCTGACCTCGTGATCCGCCCGTCTCGGCCTCCCAAAGTGCTGGGATTACAGGCTTGAGCCACCGCGCCTGGCCGGTAGTGGTAATTTTTATATGCTTTTAAGAACTATACTCATAGTGATACTACTAAATTGTCCTTAGAAGTTAACAATCACGACTGGGCACAGTGGCTCACACCTGTAATCTCAGCCACTTTGGGAGGCCAAGGCAGGCGGATCACCTGAGGTCAGGGGTTCAAGACCAGCCTGGCCAACGTGGTGAAACCCCATTTCTACCAAAATCTACAAAAAATTTATCTGAGCATGGTGGCACGCACCTGTAGTCCCAGCTACTCAGGAGGCTGAGGTGGGAGAACCTATTGAACCTGGGAGGTGGAGGCTGCAGTCAGCCAAGATTGTACCACTGCACTCTAGCCTGCATGACAGAGCGAGACTCTGGTTTTTTTGTTTGTTTGTTTTTTGTTTTTAAGAAGAAGAAGAAAGAAGGAGAAGGAGAAGGAGGAGGAGGAGGAGGAGAAAACAGTCACATGTACGCATTACCTTCTAGTTAATTTGGGGGTTATACTATTCAGGCAGAAAACCATAGAGATAAATAATCCTGTTTAATTCTGTTTCTAATACTGTTTAAATACTTTTCAAAAGTAAGACTGTAAGCTTCAGATTTTGAATATTATCTCAGCAAAACCACCTCTGCAATATCTGGTGCACTGTAAGTTTTCAGAGATAGTCATATCAGTTGGTTATTCTCCAGCTCTGGGGTATCCAAAAGATTGTCTGCCTTGTGCTGGAGACTAAGGTGGTATGAGTCAGTGGGTTAGGGTTGGGTCCTCACCCCACAAAAATGTCAGTGAGTTGAGCTCGGGAGTTCGAGACCAGCCTGGGCAACATGGTGAAACCCCGTCTCTACTAAAATACAAAAGAAATTAGCTGGGCATGGCAGCATGTGCCTGTAGTCCCAGCTACTTGGGAGGCTGAGGCAGGAGAATTACTTGAACTCGGGAGGCGGAGGTTGCAGTGAGCCAAGATCGCGCCATTGCACTCCAGCTCTCCAGCTTGGGCGACAGAGCGAGACTCCATCTCTACAGAAAAATAAATAAATAAATAAATAATCAGTAAGTTAATAGCCTGGAAGACTTAAAAAATAACTCATAAGGTGTTGCTTACCATTTTCTTTTATACATTGCACTAGTCATACATGAACAGCTTTTCTTTTAAAAATACAGCTTTGTAATGAAATTCTAACACAAATGTCTTTTCTGACAATTCGTCATTTTTCATGTGATTTCCAATTTAAAAATCAGATATTCTGTTTTTCTAAAAGAACCTAACAAGACATGTGAGAGCAGTAACACTAGTGCTACCACTACCTCCATGCGGCCTGATCTGGAAAACAGTAACAGCAATGAACTAAATTCTTCCCAGAGTGAATCTGCTAAGGCAGCTGATGATCCTGAAAATGAAGAAAGAGAATCTCATACACCTGTCTCTATTCAGGAAGAGATAGGTAAGAATATACCTCATGCATTCCATTAAAGGGAAGTTTTTTCTATTTTCGCTTTATTATTTTTTATTTTATTTATTTTTTTAGTTTTTAATTTTTTAAATGAAAGTTTGGTGGGGGTGGGAAAATGTAGATGTTCTTTTCCTTTATTTTTCATTTTTTTTAAAACACTGATAGTACTTGCACTCAATGTTTTTGTTTTAAAAATATACAAAAGCGCTCTTTACCAAGGACCCGCCAACATGGGCCGCGTTCGCACCAAAACCGTGAAGAAGGCGGCCCGGGTCATCCTAGAGAAGTACTACACACGCCTGGGCAACGATTTCCACACGAACAAGCACGTGTGCGAAGAGATCGCCATTATCCCCAGCAAGAAGCTCCGCAACAAGATAGCAGGCTATGTCACCCATCTGATGAAGCGGATTCAGAGAGGCCCTGTAAGAGGTATCTCCATCAAGCTGCAGGAGGAGGAGAGAGAAAGGAGAGACAATTACGTTCCCGAGGTCTCAGCCCTGGATCAGGAGATAATTGAAGTAGATCCTGACACTAAGGAAATGCTGAAGCTTTTGGACTTCAGCAGTCTGTCCAACCTGCAAGTCACTTAGCCTACAGTTGGGATGAATTTCAAAACGCCTCGGGGACCTGTTTGAATTTTTTCTGCAGTGCTATATTATTTTCAATAAATCTGGGACAACAAAAAAATAAAATAAAAATAAAAATAAAAATCTACAAAAGCACACCGAGCGGGGAAGAAAGATCCTTTTCAGACTTCCCTCCCCAAAGGTAACCACCATCCATCAACAGTTTGGTGTGTAACATTTTAGATCTTTCTCTCTGCGGTTACATTTATGTATGTATGTTTACAAAGTTTTTGGGGGGCTTTGGGTGATTTTTTTAGTTTTGGGGATTTTTTAAACATAAACAGGATCATTCTGCATGTATTTTTCTGCATCCTGCTTTTTTTACTCAATGATACATGTAGAGAATCTTTTTATGTTATAATTAAATTCATTTTTTAAAAACTGCTGCATGATACTTCAAAGTATGGATGTACCATAAATCATCTACTATTTCTCTATTAGTGGACATTTAGGTTGTTAACAGTTTTTCATTATTACAAATAGTGATGCTTTTAAACATCCTTAACGTAAATCTTTGTGTACTTGTGCAGGTATTTCTGGCAGTACAGAAACAGTAAGTGGACTTGCTGGTCAAATGGTAGCTGTATTTAAAAAACAGTGATAACTACTGCTTAATTGTATATCAAAAGAGATTTATACCAGTAATTTACATACACATCTGTTTCCTCATTCTCTCACTTAAAATCAACATCATTCCTCTTAACATTTTTTCCAATGGTGAAAAGTAGTTCATATAAAAATTTGCATATCCTTACTCATGTGGTTAAGTTTCTTACATGTGTTTGTTGAACTTCCTGTGAATTGCTTATTCATGTCTTTTTGTCACTTTTTCCTAATGAGTTTTGTTATCTGTCCTTAATGAATTTTAGGAATAGGAATGCTTTATGTATTATGGCTGTTAATCTTCAATTTTACATATATATTTGTATTGTAATTGCCTATTTTTAGCTCTTTGTTGTCATACAGAAATTTTTACATTTTTATATAGTTAAATGTATCAGTCTTTTTCTTTAGAGTTTCTCTGGATTTTATGTTTTATTAAGGAGGGCTATCCCCATCCCAAGAATATACATATATTTTACAGTAATTCATCATACTTCTATAACTTTGTTTTAAATCTATCTAAATTATAATTTTCATTTGATATGAGTTGGAAATCTGTTTTAATTAGGACTTTTTCAGTTGCAAGTGACCAAACCAACTTAAACTAGCTTAAGTGAAGAGGGAATTTAATTAGCTCATATAGTTGGGAAGTCCAAGCCATCATCAGGCATAACTGGACCCTCAGGTATCAAACTCTTTGTTTTCCCCTCTTTCTCTCTCACCTTTTAGGTCTACATATATTTGTGTGTATTAACCTCATTCTCTCCCAATATAGACAGGCTATTCCCATGTGGCAGGGAAGATGGCACAAGCAATTTGTATTTATATCTTTCCAAGGTCTGTGACCCAAAGGCAAGGCCCCTACTTGTGCTCCAAATCAAAAGCCCTTGAGGAAGGAATTTGAGTGGCTTATCTTGGATCATAATGTTTCTACCCCTATGGCCAGAGCAGGCAATGTACTGTGATTGATGCCTCCAGCAAAAGTGTATGACTGGAGTTGGGTAGGAATGGTTTTCCAAGGAAAGAGGGATGCTGCAAAGATTATAGCACAGTAAATATCTACACTTCCATCATTTGGTAGCTCAGCATGTGTATATACTCACATTTGTTCCCATACATACAATTAAAAAATGGTTCTGCCCAATACAATGCAAAGATTTCACCCACAACTTAAAACTTTTTCAAAAACCTCTTTCCCACAATTACATCCTGTAATTGTATCTAGACCCAAATCTAGTATTTCTGTGTATTGTACATTAATTCCGATAGATCTGGAGGTGGCTTATCTTGATCTCACAATCCAGGAGCCACATTATGAATTTAACTGCGTGTGACACTCATAAACATCATGGAGGGTGTTCTTTAATAAATCAGGATGCCATTGGTTTTCTGGGAGAGTGGCTGTGTTTGAGAGGTGAGAAGCATGTGAGAAGACTCCCCTTCTGGAGGCCATTCTGTTTTAGCTCCCTAGTTCCTGCTGGCTGTTATTGGGGTTGGGTTGCTGGGGACTTCTGTAGGATTAAATAATCATACGTCCCTATTTGGCACGTTTGGTTTTTTTTCTGACAATAGCATTCACTTGTAGATTCCTAGGTTCCCAGCTAGTACTCGATGCTCAATAACTTGTTCTTCAGGATCCCTGAAGGTGAACACCCTCCACTTCCTCAGTTTATGTGTTTAGTAGGCCAATGGTCCTAGCCCTCAGGTGAAGAGTTTGTGTAGGCTTCTGCCTGCTGGTATCATTAAATAATGAGCTGGAGAGGCTGATGTAGATCTGTAGCCTGCCGCCAGGCTGCGTCACAAGGATTCACTGCTTTATAATAGGAGGAATATGGCCTTTGGGCAGAGGGTGTTCAGTAAAGACCTCTACCTTCAGCCTAGTTCTCTTTCTCCATTCCTTTAAGTCTTACCCCTGTGGTTGAATTTTCTCCTTCTTTCCCTTATTTGCACTAAATTTAGCAAATGACAAAGGATTGACTCTGAGCAGTATTGGATTGTTGGCTCTGAACTAGGAAGCTTTTTAAAAGCACTGTGTCATTCTCTTTCTGTTTTCAGGAAATCTGACCTAGACTAAATGATGTCTAAAAAGTGTCTATTATAGGACTTCCTAGATGGCCCCAAGAACTAACTACCATAGTTCAACATCTTGGCATAAAACTCCACGATCTGAAGGCCAGGTGTGGTGGCTCACACCTGTAATCCCAGCACTTTTGCAGGCTGAGGCGGGTGGATCACCTGAGGTCAGGAGTGCGAGACCAACCTGACCAACATGGTGAAACCCCGTCTTTACTAAAAATACAAAATAATTAGCAAGGCATGGTGGTGGGCGCCTGTAATCCCAGCTACTCAGGAGGCTGAGGCAGGAAAATTGGTTGAACCCGGGACTGGGAGGCAGAGGTTGTAGTGAGCCGAGATTGCGCCACTGTACTCCAGCCTGGGCTACAAGAGCGACACTCCATCTCAAAAACAAACAAACAAAACAACAACAACAAACTCCATGACCTGAGACCCAAGAGAAAATTGATAATCTGACCAACTGCTTTGCTACCACACAGCCAAAGTGACTTGCTTTCCAGCCTGGGGTGGCAAGATGCTCAGCACCCTTTCCATTTTGACTTATTATTTAAGGAGGGCAAAGAGGTGTATTGTTTCTGTTAAAACAAAAATCTGTGGAATGTGTGATAATTTTAATTCCCATACCTTAAAAGTAGGGGCTGGAAATTTGTAGAAATTTGTAGACCCGGCCGGGCGCGGTGGCTCAAGCCTGTAATCCCAGCACTTTGGGAGGCCGAGACGGGCAGATCACGAGGTCAGGAGATCGAGACCATCCTGGCTAACACAATGAAACCCCGTCTCCACTAAAAATACAAAAAAATTAGCCGGGCGTGGTGGCGGCGCCTGTAGTCCCAGCTACTCGGGAGGCTGAGGCAGGAGAATGGCGGGAACCCGGGAGGCGGAGCTTGCAGTGAGCCGAGATCGCGCCACTGCACTCCAGCCTGGGCGACAGAGCGAGACTCTGCCTCAAAAAAAAAAAAAAAAGAAAAGAAATTTGTAGACCTACTTTTGAATTGTATTTTCTCTATTTCCAAAACTGTAGTAGTGCGATATTTTGGAGTCAAAATCTTAAAATATTCTACTGGATTATTTAGAATTTACTGGTTTTGATAGAAATCCATCAAACTTACTTAAAAGGGGAATTTTATTGTCTTACACTATTGAGAAGTCCAGTGTTGGTGACAGCCTCAGGTGCATTATTGGATCTAGGGAGGTGAATTTGATTATCGAGGCTCCTTCTGAATTTTGCCCTTTCATATTTTTCTCTTTATTTCTTCTCAGTGATGGGCTTATTGCTTCCTGTTATTGACAGTTTTCTCCATGTTGTGGGAATAAAAGTGGCCAACTTCTGATTTACACCCTTCCTGCTCATTAGTACAAAAAGCAAAGACCTTTTCTCCATCTCCAGATTTTAAAAAGTGGAAAAGGATATTGAGAGGATTGGGCCAAATAGCCAGTCCTGGGGCAGTCACTGTGGCAAGCTAGTGTTGTGCTTTGTCTGGCCATGCTGGGTCCTGCTGCTCACTCCAAAGGGGCAACATACTTGATTTGCAGCCCTGGCAGAATCATGTGATTAAAGTGTGGGAAGGCGGCGGTGAGGGAAGTATCTCCCCAAAGGAAAGAAGGGGTATGGAAAAGGTAAAATTACCAAATGTTTACAAAATTTTCTTATTTTCCCCAAAATGAATAACTTTTCCCAATCCTAGTTTTTCTCTATTTACTTAAAATGCCATCTTTATTATATATAATAAAGTCTCTGTCTTTTCATTTGCCAGTGCCACAGCATCTTAATTTTTTAAAGCTTTAAATTAAAAAGGAAAAATCAGAGCTTATTCAGCTGTCTGGCCAATGGAAATTGAACAGTGATGCAGTAGTTTTAGAATGTATGCAAATTTTTCCAGCCTGGGCAACATGACAAAACCCCATCTCTACAGAAAATATGAAAAAAGTAGCTGGGTGTGGTGGTGCATGCCTGTGGTTCCAGCTGCTTGGAAGGTTGAGATGGGAGAATCACCTGAGCTTAGGGGTTTGAGGCTGAGGTGAATTGACATCGTGCCACTGCACTCCAGCCTGGGCAACAGAGTGAGAACCTGTCTCAAAAAAAGAAAAAAAAAATTCAGCCAAAGTGAGATTCATCAGTACACAAAGCAGAAATTGCTCCTATGAAGTTTAGCCTGTCACTTAAAAAAATTAAATTACTAGGAAAATGTTGAGAGGTCTTTATTAGGTTATAAAAAACTAATTTAGTTGATTTTTAATATTGATAAGCATACACAGATAATTATCTAAATTCCCTAGTGGAAAATTCATGATGTTTATGTTTATAAGCTCAAAACTATTTGGTATTTAAACAGAATTTCAGTGGAAATCTTTCAAAAACTTACACCTTTTTATA